GTGAAGCCAACCAGGGTATCGTTTTCAGCGATTTTACTCTGGAACAGAGTATCGTTTTCAGCGATTTTACTCTGGAACAGGGTATCGATTTTACCGATTTTTCTTATGAAACAGGTTTTGACTGCTGAACTACCAGACTACCATAAATGTTAGGAGTGGATGTTGCATGGGTTCTTTAAGTTGCGCGCGACAAATCGATCGTACCCTGTAAATCTGCCTTTATAGCAACGCTACACATTTTTACACCAGGGAGAGGGGCACAAGATAATGCTATTCAATCTTACATGCAATCTGATTGGTTTGCCYGGTTGACACACTATTGAACTGTTTAAAGGGTTACTTGGACGAAAATTGCGAAACATTTGAAAAGACTTGGAAATCAAATAGACCTATCYAATATGGGTCTAATAATCATGAAGCAACAGATTTCAAGAAGATATTGATACAAATCCAYAATAATTTGTGCAAAAAATGTTGGAGTAGATGACGTCATATACTCCATCCTTTTGTTCTTCCATCTTGAATCAAAATTTCTCTGATGYGGGATAATTCCAAAAAACATTTTTTCCCGCAATTGTTTTTAATAGATATAAATGAGTTACATATTTGTATTGCTTGAAGGTTTGAAAATGGCCATGTCTTTTATAGTGACCGTTGAGAACGCTGATTCAAAACTCCGCGCGCSCAAGGATAGAAGAGGGTCCAGTTCTGGACTACGTGGSCACAGKGAGCCCAAGCAGTGACTTTGAACCTATAATAGTTAAAAATAAAATTTTACTTAAAAAWATGGTCTACTTTTATTTTATTCAGTGTCACAATGCATTATAAATGGGTTTWAAAAAATATCCCCTAACTATATGAWCACTTGTTAATAGAAACTAACTATACTAGGTAAAAGATAAGATTTTTGCGTGTTTTTAAGCACTTCCACAAAGCTTAAACGATGCATTGATTTCGAACGATCTGTGGTCTTCTTGGAAGACCACAAGTAGATCACTGGGGCTACTACTCCCATGATGCCTTTTCACAGGCAGCCCAAGCTAAGCATTTAACTAGCAGATTATAGCGATATCTATAATGCAATGCACGTAAAATACAAATTTTTGAAAAAGTAAGTAAAAAAGATTTGTCTTACCTTATGATGTGGTCTTAGTTATGAATTTAGGCGTAATTTGCCGTTTTTCTTTGATATCTCCCCCCCCCCCCACCCTTACTTATATCATATAAGTAAAGTGGGGGGGAGATATCAAAGAAAAACGGCAAATTATGGATAATCTGCTAGTTAATACCTTGGGCTGCCTGTGGTTCTACTCGGACTCGACTCGTCGTCGTATCTGAAGCTCTCTAATGCGAGCTGGAGTCAGCTGGAGTGCAGTGCAAGTCTGACATGTCGGAATACATTGTGGAAACGTCCAAAAGGGTAAGGGATCACAAACTATTTTGTATAAAGTGCATGCAGTCCATGTCAGTAGATATAAAATGAGCGTTCACCAACAGGGATTTCCGGGATCACTCAAATTCTCGAGCGCTGATTGGTCCAAACCCTAACAAACAATAAGCGTGACGTAAGACGTCACGCTACGGGTCAGGGGCTCTAGGGAACTGACGTCATAAGTCACGCAGTTGGAGGAAGTGGCGTCACAATTCAAAACGAGGCTACCGGAAACCATGTT